GCTCTTCAATTCCGCTCAGCTCTGCACAACTACCGCAGTTCTCATCGTCGTCATGTTTGTTTACAAATGTTTGGTTTCTTTATTCTAAAATTAGCTGAGTGCTAAAAAAGAGTTCCAAGATTTTTTGCAAACCGTACTTTTCATGCGTCATTTGACAGATGGAGGTCATTGGCTTTCCTATTCTTATTTGAATCACATTATAAACTGTATTAGTTTCAAAAGAGTTGTGAGCGATGGCGTGATAGGTACCTTGTCACTATTTTACGTATTTCTATTGAAAACCAAGAGCAAACCAATGACAGTGGCATCACTGAGTGGCACCGTTCAAGTTTAAGTACAATAAATAAAGTACTGATATAGCTATCTTCCCAGCTTAGTCATAAATATTGTTACAAGGAAAAATATTATTTGTTCAATTGCAAAAGGCGTTTATTATTGCAAAGTTTGTTAGTTTATACATTAATCATCATCATCATCAGTGTATTAATGTCCCCACTGCTGGGGCACAGGCCTTCCCTATGGATGGAATAGGGAGATTGGGCCATGACCCACCACGCGGGCCCAGTGCGGATTGGTGGGTGCTAACGACTGCAGATGCAACCGGGACCAACGGCTTAACGTGCCTTCCGAAGCACTGAGGAGTTCGAGATAGTAAATTTTTGGTCACCCATCCAATGACCGACCACTGCGAAAGTTGCTTAACTTCAACGATCGCAGACGAACGCGCTAACCAGTTGCGCCATCGAGCTCAACACATTAATATAATATAATAATATTAAAATATATGAAGCTCACTCAAAATAATCCCCATTGATTGGCTTTACTACAGTCCTTTAAACGTTGAATAGAAGCCTTTTACCAACAGAAGCACACACTTCATGGAAAATTCTTCACTGCCAATCTTATGTGTTGTTTTAGAGACTCTAAATTATAATGGCATTTAGAGAATGCCATACTCGAGGAGTTCGGCTGCGATCGTTGAAGTTAAGCAACTTTCGCATTGGTCGGTCATTGGATGGGTGACCAAAAATCTTCTATCTCGAGTTCCTCCGTGCTTCGGAAGGCACGTTAAGCCGTTGGTCCCGGCTGCATCTGCAGTCGTTAGCAACCACCAATCCGCACTGGGCCAGCCTGGTGGGTCATGGCCCAATCTCCCTATTCCATCCATAGGGAAGGTCTGTGCCCCAGTAGTGGGGACATTAATAGGCTGATGATGAATGATGATACTCTTTAAAACTGGTCATAAACTATGTTCATAAATCGAAGATCGGGCTATTTTTTTTTTCAATCAGCCATCGCGGATCTTTGGATTGATTCGGGTCCTAATCACTGGATTGAGCTCCATAATCCACAAATTATCTCGACAGAACGCCACTACATACCAAGATTGGTCACGGAAGCGATTGAAATAACCAAACACAAGAATTTCAATCGTGAGGATGGGTTTAAACGGTCAAGTGTCTGGAATCCAGTGGTTCGTATGTGTAAAAACCGCAAAAATCAAAAAAGTGTCGTTCCGCGATCTGATACTGTGAGTATTGAGTGTCGGGAACAGGTGCGAGTGAATAGTGAGAATGTGACCAGTGGTAGGGGTATCGAGCGCAGTAAAAGACGACGTCAGAGGGTAGACCGATATGTCTGCCAATAACATCTACCCGCAATTACTTTAGTTACTCCGTGATCATGGCGCTTGCAACAATGCCAAAATATCGGAGAATCATAAAAAACAAGGTGCATGGTAACAATCCGGTAACTAGACATAATGTTAGTGACCATGAAAGTTTAAAACAATATATAACTATTAAATACGTTTCAGTGTCACCCTTCGGTCTGTCAATCTACACAACGAGTGACAAATAACACGAATTAGATTTCAATTATACACTGTGTTCCTGAGGATATACATTAACTTTGAATAATACTTCTGTAGCTCTTGTTAAACATATTTTACAAGGAAAGTAGTAGTTTAAATAGCATAGTTTTTATGTTATTGGTAATTTAAGTTTAACCTACTTAATTGTGTTGTGCAGTGAGAAAGAGTCTTTATCTGTGAGATGTTGTCACTTTGTGCAACCAAAACTATCAACTCTTTGTCAATGGTCATTAAGACATAGTTTCAAAAGTCAAAATTTAAAAAACCATTGTTTCAAAAAGTTTATGTGGACATGTGAACCAAAGTTACAAATGCGACGTTGCCAGCTCAGGTAAAGAGTAATTCATATAAGATAAATTACATCTAAGCATTTAGTTTACGTATGAAAATAAAAAATGTTAAAGAAATTGGAATTCATAAAAGTGTCCATAGTAAAAATTGATCAATTTAATAGTCTGAATAACATGCCAAAGTTAGCAAACCTCAGGAACACGGTGTATATGGTAACCTGATGTGCTATGGATAGTACAACAATAATAAGCTAACTATTGCGTTTCCATCGGGACACTAAATATAAATAAATAAAATATAAACATTTCCAACACTCACACCAATTAGCCTAGCCCCAAAGTAAGCACTGTAAGGCTTGTGTTATGGGCTGCTAGGGTAACGGATAGAATACATATACTGTACATACATAAATATATTTATATAGAAATGCATATTGAACATCCATGACTGGAGTACAAATGCTCGTATTCATCACACAAACATCTGTCCCCACCTAGATTCGAACCCGGGCTCTCGGGTCGGCGACACCTTGAAACCCAGCGTACAAACCACTAGGCCACGGAGGTCGTCAAAAATGACCCTTATTGCTTGCCCTACAATTTTTTTTATTTCTGTCTATCTTAAGGTCATATACTAAACGTAAAGACTTAAGGGTACCTGCGATAATCTCTTATCTATTAGACAAGTCCGTCCGTCCGTCCGTGGTGCTGTTTCAGCGGCCAAACCGTAAGAGATAAATATAGAGAATGTTTAAGTTATAAGTTAAGAATAGTCTGATAAGACTACAAACCGGATGTGAGTAACGTAGCACTTCCGGTTTTCGAGAAATCACGTCATTTCTATTCAAACGAAACCACACAAAATCTCCGAAGTTCTCAATTAATTAAATACATATTTTTTTTTTGGTGAACATTTGGTTCACTGGTTTGCTAGTCTCTTATCTATTAGACGAGTCCGTCTGTCCGTGGTGCTGTTTCAGCGGCCAAACCGTAAGAGATAGATAAAGAGAATATTTAAGTTATAAGTTAAGAATAGTCTGATAAGACTACAAACCGGATTTGAGTAACGTAGCACTTCCGGTTTTCGAGAAATCACGAATTTTGAATTGAAGAAAACCACACAAAATCTCCTAAGTTCTCAATTTTTTTTTTTAAATCAGGTTTTGGTGAACATTTGATTCACTGGTTTGCTAGTGCTGTAATAAATAATGCGATAATGTTGAAGGAAATTATCACTGAAATTTACATGACGATGTAATGGTGCTTTCGTGTATGTGTCGTGTTTTGATATCACACGGTGGGTATACATAAGTGTCGTAACAGGGAGGACAGAAAGGGCAAGGAATGACGTAAGTATGGTTGATGGCGTCATCATTGCTGCTTTTATGTATCTGTGAACGCAGATGCCAACGGAGCAAGACATCCTTGATGGGGATGTTAATATTTGTAAGTAAAAATAAACGACGGGTTACACTCCGGGAGTGCCGGCAGAAGTGAGAACTTGAATATTAACGTTGTGCATTTTTGATATTTCGGAATGCTTAGGGAATACTTTTGCACGAATTGCTTTAATTATAAGTATAAAAGTACTATCATGTTTGTGATAGAATACAATCTCTTATCTATTAGACAAGTCCGTCCGTCCGTCCGTCTGTCTGTGGTGCTGTTTCAGCGGCCAAACCGTAAGAGATAGATAAAGAGAATGTTTAAGTTATAAGTTAAGAATAGTCTGATAAGACTACAAACCGGATTTGAGTAACGGAGCACTTCCGGTTTTCGAGAAATCACGAATTTCAAACAAAACCACACAAAATCTCCGAAGTTCTCAATTAATTAAATACATTTAATAGACGGACGGACGGACGGACTTGTCTAATAGATAAGAGATACTCTAAAATAAAATATTACTATGTTTCGTCCAATATATTGAAAGTCAATAACCTTTCCAATTTTATTGTGTGTCATGATGCGATCAGCCCGCGTGTTTAACCTGACGTGAGTTTAACATTTTTTTACCCATACAAAAAAAGTGTACAACGCCGCTAAAGAAGTTTTCACTAAACAAAACTTAGATCATCGGCTATCGTTGTTTAGTGTGCGTACTCACTGACTGAGAACTCAAGCTATCAAACACAGGCCGTATATTAAGCTAACATCTATACTATACTACTGTAAAATTAGGGGTTAGTGGTGGAAGGGTGAACATTGAGGGTTGTATGTATTTTTTGATGTCGAGTCATAAAAAAATAAGATAAAATTTTTGGCCAAAAAATAGAATAGTATGGGGTGGATCACCTTTATCGCCGAGAGTTAGAAAAGTAGTTTACGTCCTATTCTCAGACCTACTAATATAAGATAATTACACACAAAATTTCACATGAATCGGTCAAGTAATTTCGGAGGAGGTCTGTGAAGAACACTGTTACACGAGAATTCTATAATACCTATTATAAGAATTAATTTCTGGCCACCTCGCCTCTCTCACATTTCTGTTATACCCGTTATCCATAACTAATTTTACTAGGTGAGTTTGTTAAGCTACGCTCCTGGTAGCCGGCCCCGCAGCTCACGCTGCAGCAGCTCCACTCGCTCCACGCGCTGATTATTTTGTGTTATATGAGGAGGTTACCAGCACGGTCCTGGTGCGCTCCTGGTAGCCGGCCCCGCAGCTCACGCTGCAGCGGCTCCACTCGCTCCACGCGCTGATTATTTTGTGTTATATGAGGAGGTTACCAGCACGGTCCTGGTGCGCTCCTGGTAGCCGGCCCCGCAGCTCACGCTGCAGCGGCTCCACTCGCTCCACGCGCTGACTATTTTGTGTTATATGAGAAGGTTACCAGCACGGTCCTGGTGCGCTCCTGGTAGCCGGCCCCGCAGCTCACGCTGCAGCGGCTCCACTCGCTCCACGCGCTCACCTGGCAGTCGCCTGCCTGCGGCGCTGGCGGCCCTGGGGAACAATAATACGCGTCATCATATTATACCCTTAGATTAAAACAAAAAGGGTAGATACGGCACTAGCCTCACAAAAGTGATCCGCACCAATTGTGGTCCACGACCCTAATCGCTTTAGTCACAACTTGACATGCAAACGACGTACATGTGAACCTCAAAAAAAAATATTGCTAATATTTTGTGTTTATATGATAAAACAATGCCTAATTGTGTTTTGAAAAAGTGCTCAAATTGCTCAAGAACTAAAAATAAAACCCACGGCATCACTTTTCATTCGTAAGTACTATAAAATATATTTTTTCATAAAAATTGCTGTTTGTTTTGAATCTTATTCGGTAGTGACGTCGAGTACTGGTCGCGTGATTGGTCGGTAGTGCAGTGACGCGGATCTCGCCGTCTCGTTCGCGCTGCCGTTGAAACTTAACGTGCTGTTTCATTCGGGTCGGTAATGCAGTGACGCGGATCTCGCCGTCCCGTTCGCTCTGCCGTGGGATCAGTTTTTGTTTGATGCAAGTATGAGCGTGCCGTATCTACCCTTTTTGTTTTAATCTAAGATTATTATACCAGGGTCCGCTACTAGACATCTGCCCTCTAACACAAATGTTTAAATCTCCCAAGAGAGAAATCTCTCTCTTGGGAGATTTAAACATTTGTGTAATAGCTTTTATAAATATCAATAAATTAGGTAATTTTCGTTTCTTGAATTGGAAAGATCTAGCCTTATTAATTTTTAAAACCAATCTATTTAATAAGATACCTCACCCTTTTGTAGTACAGAATGGACTTATTAAATAAATGACTTTTAAAAAGTACAATCACTAATAGATACTTTCAATAAAATCTATCATGTAGGAGATACGTAAACTATAATCAAATTTAACTGTGGAAGGAACAAAACGGCCTTATTCACACTATAAACATTTTATAGCCAAGGCATTAAAGTTTAAATTATAGGTACTTTAAACTACTACATATTTAAATCTAATTGCTTTCACACAAAAACGTAAGCACTTTTGTGAACAACAACAGTACCCAATACTATTGATTTTGTACTAGAAAATGTTTATTGCTAGTTAATCTATGAGACGTTATTAAAGCTAAACTGTAATAATCTTCCGTCACAAGTGACGTTACTGCTTCGAATTTAACGTTTATGAGTGTTGACGAGTTGTTTGCTTGGACAATAGCCATCGTCGGCGGTGGCACACAAGCGCCGACTCTCAACAACATTAAAGTAGTCAATCTGTCGCAAAAAAAAACGTGACGAACGGTGACGAAATTTTTTAAAACAGATCTTTTTATTGATGAAATAGAAAAAAACCATACATACGGTAATATGTCAAGCTCTGAATATTCCAACAATTTTTAAGGGGCGGCTTCAGAACTTGTTTTCATATTCTATAAACAAATTTTAGTTTTCATGTACATACCCGAAAAATGCGCAACTCAAACTGTACAATTAGTACAAGTTTGAGCTCACGAAAACTATCATAGTTTTCGTAATTGTAAATTATGTTTCTATGTCCATTTTGGTGAAAACTAACCAAATATAATTAAAATTTAAGAAGACGCAAATGATTTAATGATAGAATTTAAACACTGTTTATTTGTATTGAAACGAGAACAATAAAATCAGTACCCTCAGCACGAGTTCGAGCTCACGAAAACTATCATAGTTTTCGTAATTGTAAAACATATTTGTATTGCATTGCTCACGCTCGACGTGAGTTAAACGCAAATCATATATACGTTACCGGCCAAACCCGATTTCAGGACAAATTAGTTTTGCCTAGGCTAAACTAGTTCTTCCTATACGCGATAGGATTAACTAGTATAGCCTAGTCTAAACTAATTTGTCCTAAGCCCGATAGGATAAACCAGTTTAGCTTAAGCCAAACTAGTTGATCCTGATATAAATATGCACACTCTAGGATAAACTAGTATGGCCTAGTCTAAACATTATAGTATATCTAGAGAGTCAAAATAAAAAGATAAAGTGAATAAAATACTCCGTAAACTAGTTTGTCCTGAAATCGGGTTTGGCCGGTAACATATACACTAAACAAAAACCTAACACGCTTAACGCCGGTCATCTGAACGCGCCCTTATGCATGTGCCTCATTCAGCAGCTGAATTGCTACAGATGTTAATGAGGGCTATCGCGTATGAATCCGCCGCTAGAGGCGCTAGTGTAGCGTGAGGTCTCCGAAATGTCAAATGTTATTGCTTGTTGGTTGACTACGCGGGTTTATTTCTAATTAAAATAATGTTGTGAATAATTGGTAACAATTCGGCTTAATTATGGCAAATATGAGTGATGTGGCAATGAATGTCAGTTATTAAAAATTTGAGCTTAGAAAAATGATTATGTTCCCATTTTTTCCGAATAAAACGGAACTGCGCGTCACTGTGGCATGGCCTATTATGTTTAGGATATGGTTCTTTTGTGTTAAAATACGATCTAAATGTAACCTTTGATTTCATGTGCGTATTAATAAACTTTAAAAGTTACAATTAAGTACCTCACTCAACAGTGGCGCCATCTGGTGAGACAGAAAACGGTAGCCCTCATTGTTGGAGCATGCGGTCAGTGGTTCGAATAAAAAGAAACCTGATCGTGATTATAATATGAACTCTTTACTACAACCTAAAGCCCGTTGTTGACACATTGAAAATATTGAAAAATTATAATTTTTATTTTTAAGCATGTAACTGCTTGATGTTTAAATCTAAAGAAAATATAAGTTGAAAAAATCCACGCGGACCAGGCAGAAGACGAGAATCGAACCCGCACTTTTCGCAATCCGGGCGAATGCACTGACCAATTATGCTACCGCGGCCCTGACGGCCGCGTCGAAATTCTTCTAGCTATTCTTAAGCTGCAAGGCAGCGCCATTTCTTCGCATTGTAGGTAACCCACAATTTTTTCTAGTTATATTTTCTTTAGATTTAAACATCAAGCAGTTACATGCTTAAAAATTAAAATTATAATTATAATTGCTATTTCTTCTTTCAAATGTTTAATACTTGTAAAAGTATTCATTTTGCATTATGGGTTACCTACAATGCGAAGAAATGGCGCTGCCTTGCAGCTCTTAAGCTGCTATTCTTAAATAGCTAGAAGAATTTCGACGCGGCCGTTAGGGCCGCGGTAGCATAATTGGTCAGTGCATTCGCTCGGATTGCGAAGGGTGCGGGTTCGAGTCTGCTGCCTGGTCCGCGTGGAATTTTTTCTAGTTATATTTTCTTTAGATTTAGGACGGACATAAAACGGTAGCCCTCATTAGCGTTGGTTGACATAATTGCGGCTTATACTGACCTGTCACGCTTGACACTGGGGCAGCGGAGTTCACGCTGAGGCCGGGGTTATTCGGTCCCACCCCGCCGGGGCCTGCACCACCTAAATGAAATAATCACATCATTAAATAAGTATGTGTCCTAGAAGAAAGATAACTTTCAAAATAATGTCGACGGCTCCTACGTATAATCCCCTATGTGAAAATCGCAATTTTTCCAGGAGAGCGGTTTGAACTCCAAAAATATACACGCAATGTTGTTCAGACTCGGCGAATTACTAGAAATTACAGTTAAAAATTTATTGAAAACCAATATATTAAGTACTTATATAATCATACTGTTTATATGATATTTGTTAATTACCCACCTGAGTTATCAACACCTAGTATTTTAAAAGTAATAAATAAAATTTAGTAAAAAGCAACGAAGTCCCACATCGTGGACATAGTAGAGGCCGTCGATATATTCTGTATATATATATATATATAAATCTGATATATATAATTTATATATGTACAGTATATATATTCTATCCGTTACCCTAGTATCAATACAAGCCTACAGTGCTTACTTTGGGGCTAGGCTAATTGCTGTGAGTGTTGGAAATATTTATTTATTTTCAAAACAACTGGGGGCCAATCGCCTAACTGGATTGCTTTGGAAAACGCTATCGCTTACAATTTCATTTTGTTATTTCTAGCCGCCTGAGGTTTTCAAATGTCTCGCGCTCTTTTTTTTTCTTTTGCATTGGTAATAACAATGTTAAAGAAAAAGAGCGTGAGGTATTTCGGCGGTTAGAAATAACAAAATGAAATCGTAAGCGATAGCGTTTTCCAAAGCAATCCAGTTAGGCGATTGGCCCCCTGGTCCGATATGCGGAAACAAGTAATTTTTATTTAGGAAACAGGCGCTCTAAGGTTTATAACGGATCGCAGCTTCGGTTAGTGTCCTTGTCTTTCATACATAATTTATACACATATTAATACATATGTAACTGTCACAGGCGCTCATGGAAATACGGATTCCGTTATAGGCGCAGTATTAGTTTTAATATAACAATCCCATAGTCAAAGGCAATAATCAGGACCAATACGACGTAGGACATTTACGTCATCATAACTCTAGGATGGGAAGTGAACAATAATTCAGAATCGCCGACCAGGGAGTCAATCACTCAACGGGGTTGGTATAGCTATCGCTATCGCTTATGATTGCATTCTGTTATTTCTGACCTTCTAAGGTTTTCAATTATCTCATGCTCATTTTTTATAATGTTTTTACCAATGCAAAAGAAAAAAAAGATCGCGCGGCATTTATGTTTAATATGTATTTCTATATAAATATATTTATATATAATAATAATAATAAATCGTAAACGATAGCGATAGCCATAGCAATAGCCTAATGGATGGCCCCCAGTTATGAGCGATATTGGTAAACAGAATAGTCTGCTGATGTGTGACATGACCACAACTCGATGAGTTCACAAATGTTACACAAAAATTAAGCATCAATGAAAGGGTGTCATTGATTAATACAGGATGACTGACTGACCTCTTGGTGGGTCATTCACGAGTTTAGGGGCGTGTTGTCCTAATACTGCAGCAATCAAAATGCAGGTGAACAATTAATGTTTATTTCACATTACGTAATGAAAGGTGACTTCATGAATCATCTCTGAAGTAATTTTTTCAACTTGACGTAAATAATAAAACAGGCAGGAAAAACAGGATTTGCTGAGTTTCTTTCCGGTTCTTCTCAGTACAAGGTCTTCCGCCGTAGATTTACGAACCGATGGCGTAGCTTCCAGACATTCATGAGTGTTTTTTTGAATTTGCTGTCCCTCCCTCCCCCCCTGGTGAGATGTCGTGAGATTTTATTGAACCCCTCCCCCATTCTCCAATCTCACGTGAGATTTTTCAAAACGTGTGTTTCTAACGTAAAAACTAAATTATTTTATATCGATCGTATTTAATTAGCGAATGATCTTAATCGTATTAAGATTACGCTTAAGATTGAATCTTAAGCATGTACAATCTGGATTAAATGGACCAAAATAGCATATTTTTTTTGTTTCAATCAGAAAAAAAATTGCGTGATATTTGCCACTTTCCAACGTAAGATTAGATGAGATTTAACTCGACCCCTCTTAAACATCTCACGTAATTTATGGACGGCGCCTATCAGCCTAAACTGAATAAATGATTTTGATTGATTATAATTATAATAGGCTAGTTGACTCATATCAAATTGCACTATACAAATGTTTATTTCTTATAATTTTTGGTATGAGGAACCTATATACATCGATTTCACTTCACAAAATTAGAAGATGGCTGTAGTAATTTAATTTGAAAAATAGTTTTTTAGTCTATGCTTTTTAAACACTAAAAACGCTGTCCACTATGATTATGACGTCAACATAGCAAAACAACTAAACGTCATTGTCGTGTTACTGTGGTTTCTTTCGTCGGACTAAAATATATCTAAAAACTCTTATATCTTGAAGAAAAGTTTCCGTTTATTGGTTTTCTTGACTAAATTAATGCTGGACGCCGGATTTGTGCAAGCAGAAACGACAAAACTCTTTGACTTAGCAGGTACATTCATAACCTTAAAATTGAAACCACAACATTTTTGGAGTTCTTAACGATGTGATTCTTTATTCTCGTATAATACAATCATGATAATTACTATATTTATCATGAAATCTATTAGGAATCATGGTTTTGTAATGTAAATTCAGATAAGTTATATCCTACGTGCTTGCGAGTGTTTGTTTACTATTGTTCCCGTCATACCATAGATAATATTATCTATAGACTAAAATGGCCGACAGCGTTTTTGTATGTCCATGAAAAATCTATTTTAAAATTAAAGATTTGTAGCTTTCTAGGTTAAAAAAAATTACAATACATTTTTTTCGGTCTAATTGAACAATTATTAAGCATTTAAAACATATTTCCAAAAAGTGACAACTAGCCTATTACTGCAAACAAGAACGTTCAAGCAAAAATATTCTAAATATCAGCAATTGCTAAAGCCTCAGCAACTCCAACAAGTGAAACAGCGGATGTACGAGTATTAGGTAGATAGCCAGCGACCTCGCGTCTACGTTAGTAACGTACGCTCATTACTTGCTGAACACAATTTGTTATTTGTTTACAATGTAAATTCTCTTTGATCCATCCACTGTGAACCGGCTAAAACTAGATTAACTACTCATTACCAGCCGTCCGCGCAATTGTAAATCATATGTTGGTAAATGTTAAATATTACTACTACGACATTTATGTTAGACTAGCGGCCCGCCCTCGCTTCGCTTCGGTGTAGAGCTGAAGTGTAGACTACAGTTTTTGTTCTCAGGCTTGTATTATACACAATGACATTCATCTATGATTCTTCTTTTACCTGCATGCAAAGTCTCAGCCCGATCGGTTTAAAATTGACAAAGTTTCATACAAACTTTCATTCCCTATTTTATCCCCTTGGGGGTTGAATTGATCAAAATCCTTTCTTAGCGGATGCCTACGTCATAACATCTACCTGCATGCCAAATTTCAGCCCGATCCGTCTAGTGGTTTGGGCTGTGCGTTGATAGATCACGATGTCAGTCAGTCACCTTTGAGTTTTATATATATAACTAATGGCTTTCTGACTACGTACATATAATTCACCGTTCACGTATGAAATATTCACTTTTTTATTAAAACAATAATAAATCTGTGCAATTACGATGAAGCTATGAAGGTACCTAATGTGGACGCTGAAATATGTTCAGCCGCCCTCGCAGTCTAACACCGCGGGCCACAGCCCCCTTGACCCGAGGCTCAAGGAGTAAATCAGATATTTATGAAAATATTCATTTGCATTGACTTTTACGTTAGTAAATAGTCAAAATACCAACAGAAATAGGTTAAAAAGGGCCTCTTTGTTGGCGGGGCAGGCGCGCCTCAGTAATCTATCTATACTTATAATAAATCTGTAGAGATGTCAATTCTGTACATGAAATATATTTTCAAAATAACTATCAGGGGGTGATTAGTGATCGATACTGAAGCTAAAACTGCAATCAGTAAATTTTTTGTCTGTCTGTCTGTCTGTCTGTGTGTATGTTCCTTATAGAAACCAAAACTACTCGACGGATTTTAACGAAACTTGGTACAATTATTCTTCATACTCCTGGGCAGGTTATAGTATACTTTTCATCACGCTACAATCAATAGGAGCAGAGCAGTGAAGGGAAATGTTGGGAAAACGGGAGAAGTTACTCCATTTTTAAGCTTCCGTCGCGTGTGCAGCCTTAATGGTTAAAGTTACATAGAAATCATGTATGACGGAAATATTCTACATAAAATTGTCTAAAAAATATCCTGCAACAGCATATGTCTAACTTTTATGGTTGACTCACAATAACACGTGTAACTCCTGATAGCTTAGCAGATCGGAGCATTCTGATTATATTTGATACGATTTTCAGATTTTTTTTTATTATTATATGAAGAGTCATTTTAGTCTACACTACAGCTTAACATCGAAGCGAAGCGAGGGCGGACCGCTAGTAAATAAATAAATATTTCCAACACTCACACCAATTAGCCTAGCCCGAAAGTAAGCACTGTAAGGCTTGTGTTATGGGATGCTAGGGTAACGGTTAGAATACATATTCTGTACATATATAAGTATATTTATATAGAAATAAATATTAAACATCCATGACTGGAGTACAAATGCTCGTATTCATCACACAAACATCTGCCCCCACCGGGATTCGAACCCGGGACCTCTCGAGTCGGCGACACCATGAAACCCGGCGTACAAACCACTCGACCACGGAGATCGTCAAATGTGTGAGCAAATGCTAATAATTTGACCAAAACTTGGTTCTGATTGCGTCTATGCTCTCGGGTGTGAGCGCTCATTGGTTCGGTTTTTTGATGTCGTGTAGTTGGATTGGTTATCTTTAAGGTGAAAGTGTAGTAGGGGCGAGCCGGCGACATCGGTTCCCGTGCAAACGGTCAATGATCACCTTTCTAACCTTTTTCAGTGTTCTGTGATCTGCACCATGTGTTGTGCGGTAAATTTTGGTGTTCTATTGATATC